TTTGAAGTATCGCAAAGTGTTCTTGTAAGCCGAGCTCTAACCTCGCAACCGAGAGACCGAGGAAAAATTCCAATGTTTTTTCTTTAAAAAAAGCAAGTGAGCCTGATCAGCTCATCTCTCACAATTCATAAGACCTCTTTGGCGGGCTAGGACTTGCAAACCTAGAATCGTGTCCAAACGTTTTTGCTATAAAAAAAATCATATGCCAGAGCATGTACATGGTTGTGTTCGGTTACACTAATTGAACAAAATATTTCCGTCAAACGGAATAATCCTCATGGACTCAACAAAACAATTCTTAAAAAAAAAACAAAAAAGCGTTCCTACACCTCTGGAGAACCCTCATGTGGCCGAGAACCTTCACCTACCTCGAATTGAGATGGGGAATCTCCAAATACCAAAGAAAATTGTTTCAGATCGAGAGTAGGACGGGAAGCCGAGGATAACTCGGACTCAACCATAGCGAGTTCGGCAGCAACTTCGCTCCTCTCGTTCTCGAACAAAACTCTCCCAGCCTCTAGTTCCTTAATCAGGTCTAGATTGCTCTTCAGTTCGGCTCGATCTGTTAGAAGTTTAGTCCAGACCTCTTTGTCCTTGATGAACTTCGTAACAGATTGAATAAGTTGCCTACCGAATCCCCTCATCGCTTTTCGAGCATTATGTTCGGCTTCAGCGATATCGCAAGCCCTGTTCCTAGTTAAAAGCTCGATCTCTTGATTTGCTTCTTCGAACAAAGCCGTATTCTCCTCTAACTCAGCCTCCAAGTGAAGAGCATTAGACCTCGCAGAATCTCTTTCAGCATTCGCAATTCTGATGTGTTGCTCGTTAGCTGCTAGAGTTTTCTTCATATTTTCAAAAGATGACTCGAGTGATTTTTCCCGCTCAAATCGCTCGGATTGGTTAGCTAATCTGAGATCATCAACCTCCTTCTTAGCCTTTGCGGTCTCTCTCTTTGCTTGATGAAGAAGGTTCTCATAATGGAAGATCATTCCATTAGTCTCCATAAACGCCTTCGGAGTAAAAAAAAAACGTGTCGTTTAGACAAGAAGCTTTTACCTAAGGAAGGGAGATTGTCATAATCTAAAAGATCCGAACCTAGGATAGGTAGCAAGCTCGATTGGCGAACATCTGACGGATTTCCGGCCTCTAAACCGAAAAAGGAGGAAGGGACGCCCCTTCCCTGGTTTGGAAACTTCAGAAGATATCTCCAATCTCTTCTCCGCCTGCGAAGCAAAGGAGAATAGCAGATTAATAAAATAGATGCAATATGTGGAAAGTTTTGCTAATGCTCGCTTTCTAAATAAAAACTTACTTGAAATCAAAGCGGGTAAAGGATTTTGAGTCCTAACACTCAGTCCTTGAGATAGGGGAACCTCCGATCTCGGCTCATCTATTTCCTCTGAAATTACTCTGTCTCCCGGAAGAAGGAGCTCGGAGTTTAAAGGTTCTGAAGAGGGAGAAACAGAACGTAGAAGGCTAGAGACTCGTGGGAGAGAACTTAATCTCACGGTTTTAAGTCTCTCGTTTGATAGATTATCAGAATCTGGAGCCTTCTTCTTTGTACAAGGAGAGGAGGTTATTTCTCCCTCACACCCTGGCTCGGAAGGGCAAATTGCGGTGGCAACTGGAGGGTTGTTAAGGATCTCAGCTCCATGAGTATCCACCGCGGCTGACAGGGCTGCTTCTAATGAACCGTCATCAACCAAGAGGGTCTTCCTGTGGAAGTTACCAATCCTGGAGATTGCAGCTATCCATTTCTTTCTCCCGATTTTGGATAGCTGATCCTTAAGAGCCTTGATTTCAGCCTGCATCTTTCTTTTATCTCGAGCATTCAGGCTCGAGACGTCTTTCTCCTCGGGAGGAGGATCGAGGGGGTGAGTCTGACCGTCTTTAATGGCGAGCCCCGTTTTATGAATGCGTTGAAGGGTGAAGGAATTCCAATTTGTTTCACCCTCGGAAACGATTCAAAAGAAGGACAAGAAGTCAACGGTTGGGCGGGGGATCGTCTGGTTCCCTGAAACAATGTATTGGGTTAAGAATTAAGAATTCTATCTCTTTTACTTAATATAGTGGAAAGTAGTAAAGGTTGAATTTTTAACCAAGTTTAGCCGACCAATTGGCGAGAAGAAGACCGGAAAGACCTTGAACGGAATGGGGATTGATTCGGAAAAAGAACCAGTATTTCCTCTAAGGCCTATCATTCGAGGGCATTCCGTCGATCAGGTTACGGTCAAGGATAGGGTTTATAGAAAAAATACCCGCTGCTGCGGATTCACGGGCTCGAAATAGCCCTAAGAGTTCGCTGGTGTAGAGGGAAAACCCTGCTTTTGCCAAAACAGTCAGGGTACTCAGAACGTATCGAAGAAAGTTGGGAGCCATTTGGGGAAAGGCAATGCTTAGGTGGATGAGGTAAAAAAGAAGAACTTCCGGTACGGGAAAAAACAAACCACAACCTTTGAAATAGACTTCATACGCACAACAGTAACCCTCTCGCACCACTTTCGAAGACTCGTTGGGTCTAGGAAGAGAGAATTCAATTTCCTGGGGGATGTTACAAAGGCGGCGAAGAGCGCCAAGGGAAGCGGAGGTCGACTGAGACCTGAAATGCGGACCAAATTTGTCTCCCCTTTGGGTGAAGACTTCATCCCCTCTGGGAACAGGGATTCTTTGACTGTCATCTTCGTTTTCCGAAACATAGACGGCTGGGAAGATATCTTTACTAAGAGGTTTCTCTTTTTCTAGTTTGGTAAAAGCTTTAGGGGTAAATGTACGCTACTGTAAAAGCCATCGTTCCATTTAACCTTATTTAGCGGAAAACCGCCTCGAGAATATTGGGAAGTGGGACAGTTCTCCCCGCAGTATTAATATAAAACTAAAAAAGTAATGATGACGGTTGCAGGGATATCAAATCATCTGATTATCTGAGATCGGCGTAATAGCGTAAAACATGGAATAATTCCGGAATGCTAAAAATCTCGAGTCATTAATTACTGTTTACTTAAGTCTTCCAAGCCGAGCATTCAGCTCGCAAGACATGGGGGGCTAAATGTTGGGGTCGGATCCCACACATCTTCGGTAGGATCCACTTGGATCTGTCCACGTCATTATTACATAATAATCCTCTTGGATTTCTAGATGTTTCGTTGCCGGGATCGAGCTCGACCTGTCGGAAGTTCGATTCAGTTTATTAAAGAGCTCGATCTTTACCATTACGGAGTTCGCTCTTATTCAACATACAGTTCGCATAAAGGAAGGCCGAAGCAAGGAGAATATTGTTCGAAGTTCGCGGCATCGTCAAGACGCAGGAGTTCGGAGTCAACAAGAAAGAGTTCAGGATCCACGCGAAGCCCAAGATAGTTCAAATTCAAACCGTTTCGGTCAAATTGTAACCTACATGATTAATGCGGATCAATGCGATTATGAGCAGTAAATGACCGCATTGATCATGTTTTCTCTATAAAAACAACCTCAAACGCATGTGTTTTGGGAAAGAACAACTTTTTACCTCTTACGATCAAGCAATACAACATACTCTTTCTCTTACAATTTTGCAAGGCTTTTTATTATTTTACTCTTGCCAAGCTCTTTCGCTTTATTTAGTTTCTTGGTTACTTTCCTTTTCAAATTCTTATTTTCATTTGTTGATTTTAGAGTTTTTTTCCACAAAAATACTTAAAAACAATCGAGTGTGAATCCTACATCCACATTTATTACTTATTATTAATGAAATAACAAAAAGAATTTCACTAGAATTAAAGTTTATAGTTTAATATAGGAATTTATCTATAAAAAAAAAACTTTTACTTTTTTTTTTAGGGAAATTGTTAAAAGTACCCCTTTTGGTGTGCTCTTTTTCAAAAATACCCCTTTTAGATGTTTATTTTCAAAAATGCCCCTTTGTAAATCTGAAATTTTTATAAAGTTTTATTAGGTTTATAAGGTACTTATGGATTGTAACTACTATTTGAAGACTCGATCCAAGTATTTATAAGGTTTTATAAGGTGTTTTTAAAGGTTTTATAAGTTATTTTGAAGGATTTTTAAGGTTTTTAAAGGTATTTAAAATGCATTTATAAGGTATTTATAAAGTATTTATAAGATTTTAGATACATAGAAATGTAGTTTGTGTATGTTTTAATAATATGACATACATATTTGCGTAAATCTTATATTTTTAAGAGCATTTTTTATATGGTTTTAAAAATAGAGTATTTTTGAAAAGTAGCATTGAAAAAGTGGTATTTTTGCAAAAGTCTATTTTTTAATATAAAAAAATATTCTTTTATTTATGTGTATATTTTTCCGATATGTTAAGAGCTTTTCTATGTTTGCTTTTAAATATATTTCAAATTTAGATTTTACACGTGACATATATTTGTAGATAATTACTTGATATATGTTGTGATCACGTAAGATGAAAACATTAAAAACCCAACTTTATATAATAAAGATTATTTGTTAAATTATGAGAGGAATTCCTAAATAGAGAGAAATGCAATAAAAAGGATTATGGAATATAGAATAATAATAAAAAAAATAGTCTAAAAGAGTGTTCGAGAACGACTCTTTTCCAGGGAACATATGCGGTTATGCCACATCAATTGATCGGACTTTACCTTTACTAAAATATATATAAAGTACTAAGTTTTAAGTGTTGGGAAGGATTTTAACCTTTGCTTTATTACTTTTATAAATAATTAATTAATTGTAAATTTGTTTGTCCGACAAGGCGACAAGAATGTAATTTATAAAGTAGAAAATCTGTTATATAATTAATATCATAATAAAAAATTTATAACGATAAGTCAACAATGCAAATTTAAACTAATTGATGATTTTGAAAAACTAAATTCTATTACGAATTGAATTTTGATGATAAAATTTTATATTTGTATGTGCCAAGATTTTAAATAACTGTAAAGATGTTGTAATTTAATAATTACAATTCTCCTAAGTATCACTCTACAACAAAAAGGCATCTTTTCCTAATTACCAAAAAAAAAAAAAACGGCATCTTTAAAAAAAGGCATTTTGGTTTGTCGAAAAGATATATATATATATATATATATATGCTCCAAACCTCCAATACAAAAGCAAACAAAGGCCACTATATTATAGGAGAGGAGTTTGAACCCAAAAAAAAAAAAGAGAGACAAAGAGGAAGATGGGTTGGTTTATTAAGGAAAGAAGAGGAGGTTCATGGAAGCGAGGATGGTTAGAGGAAACACTACTAACAACATCAGCACCTCCTCTTACACTACTAGCTCTCTTAGCCATCATATCTTTACTCCTATTCCTCTCTTCATACCCGCGTTACAAATACGAGGTTGAGAAAACCGCGGCTAATCTCAAGCTCTTCATGCTATTCCTCCCAATTCTCTTTGTATTCCTCCTCCTTTCTCTAAACTTCGTCCATCGACTTCTCTTTAAATCCTCTTACTCCGTTAGAGCAAACCAGGCTAAGTCCCTTTTTGGAGAAGGAAACTTTCCGTGGGGAGTTTTGCTTATGCTAATACTTCTACTTCTTTTGGTTTCTAAACAATCTTACTTTCACTCCTTATGGTACCCTACCTTATGAGTTATGATCTTCCAATAATTCATGTCTAGTCTTCAAATGTAATCTTTAGATTGATCATTGCTTCTTGTAATCCATAATTCCACACATGTTAAAAGACATTTTGAGTATAATTATAAGAAAAATCTGATATATATATATATATATATATATATATATATATAGTGTTCGAAAATACGGTCTGTACGGCCGTATATACGGCGTATATACGCTGTACGGTGGGAAGCCGTACTGTATTATAGCTATACAGTTGTTTAATACGGTCCGCATATATGGCGATTATACGGCATATATACGGTGAAATCCGCATATACGACGTTTTTTTTTTAAATACTCAAAACAAAAACTATGTCATTTTATTAATGTTTGGAAAAATGATTTAACAAAATTTTTAGTTTGGCTCTCAAAAAATTAATCATAATAATTAACTATAAAATAACTTAATTATCATTCTTTTCCACTATTTTTATGCTTATTAGTTATTTAAAATTTTAAAAATATTTTGTAAAATTGAAAATTTGATTTTTTTTGTATTCATGTATAGTATCATCATGATACTATATTTATGTTTTATTTTTATTATATATATTTATATTTATTTAATAAAAAATATCTACCGTATAGTCCCGCATAAACGGTCGTATATACGTCTATACGCTATACGGTGCTCCACCGTACACCTAGCATATAACGTATTTTAGAACACTATATATATATATATATATATATATATTACAACAAAACGTCTGCACATACATGGCTAATTTACGACAAATTTACAACAAAATTTGGTAATTACTTACTTATTTATTTTATAAATATAATGTAAACAATTTTCTCCTGCAATTTTGTGTCCTACACAGAAAGTTTCATTGATTTGAACTTACTAAAATTAAAACAAAATAGTGGCAAATTTACTATAAAGTTACGACATAATTGTAGTACCAACTTTTTTGTTTTGTCTAATTAGACTGAATATCATTTACTACTTTACAACGGTTTTCAAATATAAATCTATACCATCATTTTTGTCTTGTTTAAACAAGAAATCAGTATTAGTCAGCTAATCTATATAAATTCACTTAACGTCCCTACAATCTATATAAATTTGTATTGAAATTCGTTTTATCCATAAAATAATTGAAAACAATTTTTTTTTCTCATTAAAATAACAAATAATCATATACATCTTTTTGAACAATGTATGAAGACGTGTGATCAGCCTTCGACCAAAAACTTTTAAAATTGACTAGGTCGAATTTCAATACAAATTTATATAGATTGTAGGGACGTTAAATGAATTTATATAGATTAGCTGACTAATACTGATTTGTTGTTTCCAGTATATGTGTTCCCATAACTTTCTCTCAATTTTAGATGTGGAACAAAACAAAAATGATGTTATAGATTTGTATTGAAAAATTCAAGTTTAATGTCTAAAGATTTTTAGGCTTTGTTAAATAACCAGATTAAAATGAAATTGGTTGGGTTGTGCTAGATCCGACACCAGCAACCAATGTTAATCAAATTAACATAATTTTTAAGTGACTAGGTCGAAACCCGCGCTACGTTGCGGGTATTCTTTTAAAAAGTTTTTTTATTATTTAATGTAAATATGATTTGTAATAGTTAAACCATATTGTTTGAAATCACAACTAAATCAAACATAGTGTATGTATTAACATGAATTATCATTTAAAGATGTGGGTCATAAACTTACTTATCAGAAATTAAATAGCGTATATTTTTAGTGAGATAGTTCTCTTTTGATGCAAAGTAAAAATGTACTAATGAAGAAAGATAAAGATTGCAAATTTTGTAATTAAATTGACAGAGAGAACTCTAACAAAGTCATTTAAATACCTAAAACAAACACTTTCTTACTATTGGATGTTACTTTATTATTTTCATTACTACCAAAGTGAAAATGTTTCAAGCATTGCTAGAAGTTATTTTTTTTAGTTTAGGACAAATTATATCAATTATGTTGCAATTGTCCTAGTCAAAGTCGAGTAGACGATCATAAATTCTTGTTTACCTCCCAACATTTTTTTTTTGTTTACCTTTCAAGAAGTAAGAGATTATAATATACGATCGTAGTCTAAAATTCACCAAGAATACTTGTGTACCCTGAAAATTTTACACAATTATGATTCAGTGCCTTACGAACTGGTTGAATCTATACCTTTCCATGATATTTCGAACTTGGATGGCATCTTCTGGGCTCAAAAGCCAAACCAAATGATCATAATCACTTCTTAGTAGCTCATTTGCCTCTAGTACCAGAACTCGCAGCTGCAGCTTGAGCAGCCTTCTTTGATGTCTTCTTTGCAATGCTTTTTCATCTCTGAATCATTCCACACAACAATACATATCCAGTCATCGTTATATGAGAATAGATATTCTGACAAGAGATGACTTTCATGAAACTTATTGAATAAAGTTTTGAACACAAGTTGGAATTAGTTTGCTATAGCACGAGTGCACGACATCTAAGATGTAATTGCCCTTTTTAATCTGCATATGTAACTAAACTATCACATTGTAATATGCATATGTAACTTCTGATTTTAGGGTTAAGTAACAAAACCAAAACACAAAGCACTCGGATTTTATTCATTTCACTTTCTGGGTTTTAATCAGTTGTGCTCATTTCTCCTTATGTCGTCTGAATTCCGGTCTTAAATCGTCCGAAAGTTCTTATTTCTCTGTTTGCATCTACTCAATTTATCTGTCTCAGAAACTTCTTCTTCTTGGGTTTTGTGATGAATCTAGGAACAATCAGTTTGAAAATAATTGACTTAAATTAGTGAATCAGGGAGAGAGATCCAAAAATCAAAGAAAGAAGAGATGAGAAAGAGAGTGAAAAGAGGACAACGTTGATGAGAGAAAGTGACTCGGAAAAAAAAAAAAAAGACACTACAGATTTACAAATAAGTAACTAACCTTCAGGATGGTAGAGAAGTGATTGTTGCGGTACAAGATACAAAGTTTTTCTTCTTTATTGTCATCTTCCAAGGCACAGAGCTTGGAGGAAATGATAATCAAAAATTATAAAAATAAAACCAGTGTAGCTAACCACAGAAAATCTCCATAGCCTTATCCTTTCACCGAAACAAAAAAGATGAAACAGTGAGAACAAAGTCTAGTTATTTGAATATATTGTAGCTTGCAAGCTTCTAAGTAATATTCGAGACAATGTACCATAAACTCACAAGAATGTGTATGAACGCCACAACAAGTAAAGACCAAGATCCTCAATCAGAGATAAACACATCCCACAAACCAGTTGAATCATATGATCCAAGAACTAAAGACAGAGACGAAGCAAATCACTTGGAAAAGAATATCTATGAAGCAAGATTTTGAAGTTATCACAAATAATGAAAATAAGCCTCTCAGGGAAAAGGCATACCTGACCAATCCAAGAACTCAGGAGCTGCATTGCATCATTCCAATCCATATCTGCAGTTCAAAAACACTATGATCCTATACATGATACTAAAATCAGACAATACATGATCCAAATTCAAGTCTTGAGTTTAATTTACAAGAGTCCAGATGACGAACAAGGTCACCAAAAATTTGGAAGTTAAATGACTTAGAAAAATAAAATCAACAAATATATAGTATGGATACAAACGTCTGCTATTAGGGCTTTGATGTTTCTAGGCTACCTAGTACCTACAATTATTATGTATTTAGTTAAACAAAAGGTGGAAGAGTGCTGGAATGCAGCAAAGTTATTATCTAGCAATCAAGAACCCACATATGCACAGCCTTAATGCTCATGAGAGTGACTTACCTAAGGATAACAATGCCAGTAAGAAAATGTGGGGTTCTTCGAGAAGTCATCATCAATCATCAACAACTGCTAAGTATCAATCATGTATGGTATATGCCATGGTTTATGATTTCAAAATTGTCATCTCTGCTACATCTTCTCTGATTGGAGAATTGAGAGATGGATGATAAACTCTAATATGTTAGCCTTCTTCTCACTTCTCAGTCACTCTCGCCGGCCTCAATGCCTCTGTTAAATTTCAATCATCCTCCGTCTCTTCACCGTGGCGTTTCATAGCCGCATCTCAGAAGTCATTGACTCCCCGAGCATCCAATCTCAAGAGGAAATCTTTGAGGTCTATTTCATAACCTAACACCACGACGTCGTTTTCGGCCATCACGGACCAAGTCACAAACCCATCACCAAAACCGCAACTCTTGTTGATGATTCCGGCGAATTCAACAAACTTCCGACAGGTCCAACTTCTGGGCATTTACTGTTCTCCATAATCGCCAATTCATTCGCCGGTGGGTTTAAGATTAGATGCGGCAAGGTAAATCGACATTCTTTTTCATTTTTTTTTTTGTTTTTAGAAATAGTCTTTTTTAAAGAGAAAAAAGAAGACAATGACAATGAACAGAATTCAATTTTTACTGGCAGAGAAATCTTACCTATATTAATCAATATGTTTTGATTGGGTATTGAATTTAATAAGGTGTCACACTCAGAAAAATTGAAAAAGCTGAGGTATCATGACAGAAGAGAAACCTAGTACTTTTATTGTATTGATTGAGAAATACCTTTTAAGTAAATAAATAAAAATTAATATAAATGTTGAATTTGGTTTTATTTTAATATTATATGTCTTTTTTAATATAGACTTTTATGACTAATATAGAATAAATATTAGGTCATCGTCCTCTAATTTAGATAGACTATTTCATAATTTGCTTTATTTAAATAAAATTTTGTTTGTCTTTTACTGGTGCGAGATATGTATATATAACACTAATACCAAAACTTATAAATCCCTTATATATTAATATTAATAGAGAAATACTCTAAAAAATAAACCTTACATTAACGTGTTATTAACAAGATTGTCATGCTGACGTGTCGCTCTTAGAATGATTTGTCACCTATTTAAATACTTGCCCAAATTTTATTAGACTATTTACAGAATTTGCCATTAATATTATACATACATATATTCCATCAATCAAAACGAATTTCTAATTAAAATTGCAAATAATTATGCAATAAATCTTTCCAAAATAAATATACCACAAACTTAACAAATGATTATGTAACTAATATTAGTAAGAGAGGCTTCGAGACCACCTTTATCTCTATATTAGCAAGATCATTAAAATGTAGTAGAGACTACAATACTTTGCTAATGTTGGTGAAAGCATCCAAAATTAATCTTGATTGATGCTAAAGTTAGTTTCTTTTATTCATTTAACGTTTTACTATTTCTTTTACTTAACTTATAATCATGCTATAATACGTTTGATAATATGTAGTAGTGTAAAATCTATAATACGTTCAATTATATATAGTAGTGTAAAATCTATAATACATACTCCATTTGCTTAATCTTTCTCCATTAATCATCTATAATCATGCAATTTCTTTTACACATTTGTATCAATGTTTTTAAATCCGATCCAAACAATGAAGCAGATTTCTTTCTATGTCACTAGGTTAACCGGGTTCAAACACGGGTCAATTGATTATTATTTTATTTATTTAAAATTTGTAGAGATTATATAGTTTTATAAATATAAAAATTAAAATTAAAAATAATCATATCATGTTTTATAAAATATGAAGTCTAACAATAATAGTAACATGATTAAATATTTTTAATCCTACTAAAACCATAAAATATACTAAGATAGTAGGATAGTGAATATGAAAAACTGAAAAAGTTCTAAAAATAACTAAATAGTGAATACACAAAAAAATCTAACATCCTAACTTTTAACGGACATTAGCACTAAACCTAAACCGGAGATATGTACGAGTCGCAGGTTAACTAAACATACCGGACGGTTCGGGTCGGACGTAAAAACACTGATTTATACGTATATAAAGAAATTTATTGAAAGACACAAAATATTCACCTTTTTAAAGATTGAACAATTTCTTTATTTATATAGAAAATTGTGACCATCAACCTCCTCCCGCACAAGGCACGGGTCCTGTATCTAGTATTCTAGTAAAAATTGTGTAATTATTTAAATAGACTAAGAATCTCGCTGAGAGCGACAAGTTACCATAACAGTTTTGTTAATAACACTTGAGAATAATATTTTTTTTTTCAAAAGTATTTCTTAATTAATATATAGGGATATGAATAATAATTTGTTTGGTAAAAGTGTCTGAGTTATTCTTCCATGATTTTTTAACTTTTGAAAATATTTAAATAATTCATAGAAAAGCTAAGGAGGAATATTATTGAATTTTTTCATTTCTAAAATTAACATGCTATAAAAAATGTTATTTTAAAATCCACATGGCTAATTTTGATAGTAAAAGTTTCTAATTCCATATAAATTTATCAATAAATTAAATGCAAAAGCCATACAATCCCGAATCCCCTAAAATTTGTAAAATATATATATTTTATACATTAAGAGGTTTTTCCCGTAGAAAAAAAAAAAAACAAAAAAAGTATTTTCGCAAACAGCCCTACGAATAATCTAAAAGGCTCTGGAAGTTTAATCGTGGACACAGCTTAAACCCTAAGAACCCTTTCGTTGAATAAACAAAAACCAAACGCCTTCAAAACTCAAAATCTCGATTCAGATCTCATCTTCTTCCTTCTTCCGCCACAAGCTATGAGGAGAGTCACCGGACTTGCTGCTCGCACAATCTCATCCTCCGTCGCCATCAATCCACGTCTCTCTCAAACAATGGCGATTACAACGATTTCTTCCTCCGAACCAATCTCCCGAAGATTCGGTGGTCTTCCAGAGATATCAACGCCGTCTTTTGCCGGCGGAGTCGCTGGGATTGTGTTTTTCTCTGCCGCTGCTGCATCGTCTCTTGGTCAAGAAGTTCACGCTAAGGAAATGGCTCAGAAGTTTAATCCTAAAGAAGTTGTTCTGTATCAGTACGAGGCTTGCCCTTTCTGCAATAAGGTTAAAGGTAATCTTATCACGCTAATCTCGAAATTGCTGGATCTGATCAGATTTTGAACATTTTGCTATTCATGATTCAATCTTGGGGAAAATGGTTCTTTAACTCATTGATTCTTGCTTAGAATGTTATGGTTAGAGGTTGAACATAGTTAGACAAATTTGAGTATTGTTAGAAATTACGAATTTGATACTTCTGCTGAAAATAGGATAATCAGTGCAAATGTCATGTCAAAGGCTCCTCCTAAATTAGCTAGAGTGCCTCAAATATTCTCTAAGTTCTTGATATGAAGGCAGAGTGGTGGCTTTGAATCTGTGATTTAGTAAGATATTGATGATTAACCGGTTCTTACTGGTATGATATTTGGGCGATTGTTTATCGTTTGTAGCGTTCTTGGATTACAACAAGATTCCATACAAGATTGTTGAAGTGAATCCTATCAGTAAGAAAGAAATCAAATGGTCTGATTATAAGAAGGTGCCTATTCTTACTGTAGATGGTGAACAAATGGTTGATTCTTCAGGTTTGTCCCATGTTCTGTCTCTAACCTGTATTCTTCTTTCTGAAACAAATGTGTATTAGCTTAGTTGAGTAATCTTTGGTTGTATGATGCAGTGATAATCGATAGCTTATTCCAAAAGATGCACCCTGAAATTTCTAAGTCTGAAGATGATGAAGAGACTAAATGGCGCAAGTATGACCGTTTTTTTAATTTAGTGACAGATACTGGTTCTAATTTAAGGTTTGTGACATTACAGACCTGAGGCTGATTATGTATCTACCTGTTTTAGGTGGGTGGACAATCATCTTGTGCATCTTTTGTCACCAAACATTTACAGGAATACTTCAGAGGCTCTTGAGTCCTTTGATTACATCACCACACATGGTATGGTTATAGTCTACTTTACTTCTTACTTTTGCCCCTTCTTTATATACTCATTTTGTTTTTATATCCTTTTGTAAGATTTGTGTGGGTTAGCATTTTACCTGGATGAGTCCGTGGGAATCCCAGTTTTGGGAACCTTTACACGTCAATATACATCTAGAGAAAGCTTTTGCAGGAGGAGTGTATATCTTGTCTAAGTCGTAATGTTGTGCCCTGTGCAGGGAATTTCAGTTTCACTGAAAGATTAGTGGCAAAGTATGCAGGAGCAACGGCAATGTACTTTGTGTCAAAGAAATTGAAGAAAAAATATAACATTACAGATGAACGTGCGGCTCTTTATGATGCTGCGGAGACATGGGTCGATGCCTTGAAAGAGCGTCCATACCTCGGTATGTCTAACTTCCAATATTAAACTGAATCTAGTCCCCCCACTTTCTTGATTGGCCCATGATTGTAGTTTCTGATTATCAGGTGGGTCAAAACCAAACTTGGCCGATCTCGCTGTATTCGGTGTTCTGAGGCCAATAAGATACCTTAGATCAGGTAAGGATATGGTGGACAACACACGCATAGGTGAATGGTATTCTCGAATGGAGAACACAGTCGGAGAGCCTGCAAGAATCAAAGAATAAAGGGTCGTTGCTCTTTATCTCTAGTGAAAATATGAATTGCATAATGTATCGCTGATTTCACGGCGTAACAATATTTTTAAGTTTTAGGGCTAGAGAAGGAAACAAAGAAACTAAAGGTAATAAGCATAACTTCTTGTTAATGGGGGATTTTGGATACTGTGACAGACTTGGTTTGGCCCTGTTGCTATTGCTAAAGAGTCCTTTCTTTGATTTCTTTCATATTTAGAAAGAATCACTGATCGTTTGATTTCTGTTTTCTATTGATTAAATTTTTATGTTTATACAAAGACAAAAATAAACTAGTGGGTTGGTAATTATCTCCTATTGGTGGAATTAGTTTACTTCTCCAAATACACGCACAAACCCAATTATTGAAACGTGAAGTATTTTTTTCTTTTAATTGCACTGTTTGGATAAATTTCATGTGATATAAAGAAATTCTAAACTAACAATCGAGCAATGATTTTTGACGTCTCTAAATTTGACCAACATACGGGAAGATTTTGTAGATTACGAGCCTGTTCTTTTTATGAGTCGCCAGCGACACAGTTGAGAGACAAATTTACAAAACCCCTCCATTTTTAATATTCTTTCAAAGCAGCGTTATGTTATCAGGTCAGAGAGTCAGAGACAAAGAGCATCCAGTCGTCGATGGAGTCGCTTGCTTTCGCTTAAACTCGTCTCCAAAAACAAATGGCGACACCAGCAACATAATTTTTGAGGAAGAAACTCTCTCGAAATAAAATGACAGCGACAAAAGATAGAGAAAGAAAAGCATTTGTCTGTCGGTACATGCTGTCGCCGGCGACGTACAAAAGAACAGGGCTTACATCATCGTTTTGAAAATGAATGTCAAACACAAGCATTAGGCAAAATAATCGGCACAATTAGACGGATAGGCATGCAATTAGTGAACATGTGGTAGTGCCAAAAATTTGGCATTCTATTTTTCGAAAAATCTCATCACTATATAAACATAAACATGTTTCATCATTCAATCTCCTTCGGGTCTTCACTCATCATTTTTCTAGGAATTTTTTTCTTCCATATAAAAAACAAAAACCAAAAAAAAACAAAAAACAAAAAACAAATATATATACATTTTACTGATCAATTTTTTTTATATCAAATAAAAATATTCTTATTCTGTAATGTCACGTTTGGTGTATATAATCTTTTTGCTTGTAGTGGTAGAAGGTAGCAGGAACACTTTAGATCAAAATACTGAAACCAACGCATCAGAAGCCAAAGTAGAAGGTATATGTACAAATTTTATGAATAGCTTCCACCGTTTCATTCATGTTCTCTGTTAAAAATTAGTAGAATTTGTTTATCAAAATCAACTAATGTAGAACTAGTAGAAGGTATAAGTCAACTAATGTCATTTCATTCAAGGATATTAATTCTTTTTTTTAGCCAGTTTCGCTCGGTTCAAAGAATAGGGCCTTTGGGCAAAATTTGATTTTAGCCTTGTTATTTAAAATTCTTTTAACTAATATTTATCAAAATTAAGCTAAAACGATATATGAAAAAATCGCTAGGTGTTTTAAATTATTACATATTAAATTTTTTAATTTAGGTTTTGATTTATTGGAAAATAGTAATCATTCGGTGGAACATACTTATTTTCACATTACTTTTGACTTTATAATATTTAAATTTATATAATGCCAGCTTCAGTTAAATTATTATTTTCAAATATTGTTGTCATTTAAAAAACTTTAATATATTAGAATTTTTTATGAAAAAGGGCCTTTGGGCAAAATTTGTTTTTAGCCTTGTTATTTAAAATTCTTTTAACTAATATTTATCAAAATTAAGCTAAAACGATATATGAAAAAATCGCTAGGTGTTTTAAATTATTACATATATATATATATATATATTTTTTTTTAATTTAGGTTTTGATTTATTGGAAAATAGTAGGGAAATTGTTAAAAATACCCCTTTGGTGTGTCCCTTTTCAAAAATGCTCTTTTTAGATGTCCATTTTCAAAAATGCCCCTTTTTAAATCTGAAATTTTTATAAAGTTTTATTAGGTTTATAAGGTACTTATGGATTGTAACTACTACTTGAAGACTCGATCCAAGTATTTATAAGGTTTTATAAGGTGTTTTTAAAGGTTTTACAAATTATTTTAAAGAATTTCAAAGGTTTTACAAGATATTTTAAAGGTTTTTAAAAGTATTTAAAATGCATTTATAAGGTATTTATAAAGTATTTATTAGATTTTAGATACATGGAAATGTAGTTTGTGTATGTTTTAATAATATTACATACATATTTGGGTAAATCTTATATTTTTAAGAGCATTTTTATAAGGTTTTAAAAAGGGTATTTTTGAAAAGTGGCATTGAAAAAGTGTCATTTTTGCAAAAGCCCCAAAATAGTAATCATTCGGTGGAAAATACTTATTTTCACATTACTTTTGACTTTATAATATTTAAATTTATATAATGCCAGCTTCAGTTAAATTATTATTTTCGAATATTGTTGTCATTTAAAAAACTTTAATATATTAGAATTTTTTATGAAAAAGGTACAATAAAACTACCCCCAAATGTTTCCATTCCCGGTGTCATAACATTTGGAGACTCAATAGTGGATAGTGGAAACAATAACCACCTCCGTACAGCATTAAAATGTAACTTTCCTCCTTATGGTAAAGATTTTCCAGGCAAAATTGCTACTGGAAGATTTTCTGATGGAAGGGTTCCATCTGATATTGTTGGTAAGTATAATCTCATCTCATCATTTTTTAAGTCACGAATTTCTAAGAGTTAGATAGTGACTAATGCTGAAGTTGCTAATAAAAATAACAACTAGCTAGTTAAAAATTGGTCAAACTGTAAATTTTAGTAAAATAACCTTTAAAATGTTGTCGATTTCATATTATCGTCAATGAATATATCAATTTTTAACACCCAAAATAATAATGTAAAACTCCAGTATAATAGATCACACGTTTATGCAACGTAAAAATAGATATATATTTGATAAATTAATTATCTACATAAAAATTAGCATGTTACGAGAAAAGATCACACATCCTGCAATACTTAGAGGATATGAGAAGGCGTATTAAAACTTCATTCGATAATTGTGATGTTTATGTTGAAAATTAATAATATTACATAGAAAAATCGCTTAAACTGTAATAGTTAAATTGAAATGGATAAAACCATCTAAAATATTTTAAATTCTCTTATGTTTGCTTGGATTAATATTGATTTTTATTTTTCTTAAATATGGTAATTTTTAGTGTCACTATTTCTTATAGAATGCTTTATCTAGTTATCGAATGTGTCGAGCGATATTGCATTCGTGATACATGTCGGGACAACTTATGGTTTTTGTTTGATGAAATATATGGCAGCGGAAAGACTAGGAATAGCAGAAGCAATACCAGCATATTTAAATCCAAAGCTCAAAAATGAAGATCTTCTCAAGGGTATAAATTTCGCTTCTGGTGGTTCTGGTTACGATCCATTAACAGCTAAACTAGTGGTATATGTTAATATATACTTTATAGTTTCTAAATATTTTGTTTAGTCTTTTCTTTAATTTGTTTTTTTTTGAAATGTTCCAGAAAGTGGTATCTTTATCAGATCAACTAAAATATTTTCAAGAGTATAAAGAAAAAATAAAAGGAATAGTTGGCGAAGAGAAAGCCAATTTCATAGTGAAAAATAGTCTTTACCTCGTGGTAGCCAGCAGTAATGATATTGCTCATACATATACGGCACGGTCACTCAAATATAACAGAACTTCATATGCTGATTATTTGGCTGGTTTCTCTTCTGAATTTGTCAGAGTAAGTAAAATATTTGATTTTGTCATAACCTCATTTATATTGTTTTCCATTTAACTTTCACTTTTCACTACTATCAATTTGAGATTCAAATGTAATGTGTGTGTATCATAGGAGTTATATGGACTTGGAGCTCGAAGAATCGGAGTATTTAGTGCAGTACCAGTTGGATGTGTACCAGCAGCCAGAACAGTTCATGGAAGATTAAAGCGAAAATGTTCAGACAAACTAAACGAAGTGGCTCGTCACTTCAACGTAAAGATGTTTCCGACATTGGAGGCTTTAGGAAAAGAGTTGCCGGATAGCAAAATTGCGTTTATTGACGTATATGACACTCTTAATGATATGATCGAAAACCCTAAAAACTATGGTAAGTACGAATACACTTCCCTTTTTCTCACTAAAAATGTTACTTAATTATTTTTGTTATGTCGCTAGTAGAAAAATTAAAGTGTGAATTTCTTACTGAAAACCTAAAAATGGTGTGAATTTTTGAATATTTTATGCATCTAACATAACTTTCAGAAATGCTCCAAAAATTAAGATATTCATATATGGATATATAAAATTAACTAACATAAATATGTTACAATTACATAGTACTTAGATATATAAAAATTCTTAACTAGATGTTTTAAAAAAATTTCTTTTTAAGAATATTAAAGAGATAATTTTGAAAGAAACTCATAAATAACCATTACTTACTTCATATTATTAAATTTACTAATCTATATATATAATGGGAGAGTCTTCTCTCCATCTAGAGTGTCCACATCAGCATACATGTCATCATATTTTATATTTTTGTGGGCTCCACTTTATTATTAAAACAAAAACATTACAATAAAAGTAATTCACACACTTTATCTTACAAAAAACATTAAAAGTAAAATTAATTCACACATTTTTTATTAAAAAATAGACGTATTTTTAAATTAGAATAATTTTTATATGTTCGTATGTTACACATTTGAGAAAAAATAATATTAAGAATACTATGTAGAATCATAATATACGCCAAATTATATATGTGAAAAGAGAATTTTATATTTTTCAGTTGGTCAAGATAAAGTGTAATATTTTACGTTTGAATCTGATGTTTGTAAATAGGAATGAGTCTACATATGAGAGTTTTTTTTTTCTATAAGGCAATTTTAAATACACCAAAACATGGTAAAAAAAACTTTATGAATAAAATTTCCCCAGATATTCTCATGTTAACTTTAATAAAAAAGATCATGCAACTTATAAAAAACAATAGAGTATCGAAAGATAGGAAGGAGGAAATTCAGACGATCTATCTTAAGAACTAATTCATAGTCGAATATATTATATGTGAGTCAGTATAAGGTGAATAGAGAATAGATTTCGAGAGACGACGAATAAATCATAGAAGATAACGAGAGAAATTGTAGTGAAATGTGTGAGAAATGTTTTAAAATTTTAGAAAGATAATGCACATGAGAAAACTAAAATCTTTTAAAATTCAAAAGATTATATTTATGCTCAAAAATTTGCTTTGATAAAAGTTTTATATTAAAATCCCGCGCAACGCACGGGTACATAATCCAGTGCTTATAATTGCTTCAAATATAGATATTTAGGCATTCAAGATATCTTATATGGATCCGATTTTGATACATCCATGAATCTACTATTTGTATCTGGATTCACATACCTCTGATGTCTTATAGAATACTATATTGGATCTCGAATATTTTGGCCATCGAGATTTAGTACCAAATACTAACTTTATTAGCTACTAGTGACTCACTATCTAAAAATTATTTGTTCTTTTATAGGATTTGAAGTATCAAACAGAGGATGTTGTGGAACAGGATTACTTGAAGTACTCTTTTTGTGCAACAAAATCAATCCTTTTACATGCAAAAATTCATCTTCTTATATATTTTGGGACAGTTACCATCCAACAGAAAAAGCTTACCAAATTATCGTTGATAAGTTGTTAGGAAAATACATTAAGCAACTAGTCTAATTCTAGGTATTTTTATAATGTTCTAAGTAATTGTTCTGAAGTATGTAAAAACATAAAACTTAAATCATTTTTCTACTAATTAATCGTAAAATAATTTCACGAAAAGAAATATTCGTCTATTAACTTTATCTACCATTGCTATTTCCCGATCGTTAACTCTTTTTATCTTCTCTTTCTCTACATGGAATCCGTCTTCTCCGTTCCTAAGGCGATTTACATTTGCAATAAACTTACGGCCACTATAAGTCCGTAGGCAAACCTGTAATTGCCGAACTCCATATTGTGATCGATAAAAAATTCTCCGTTTCTCCCGTTAAACCTATTATACAAACTTTGTTAAATCTCAGCATCAACTATATGGTTTCTGATCTAACATAATTGAACACCTTGTCACTCTTAGCTTGTTATATGGATCAGATGATCCATGAAAAACTCGAAATTAATGTTTCTAGATGTAATTAATGACACTCGGTTGTCTCCAAAATAAAAAGTCCATGCTTTGAATAAATCAAAAGCTCAGAAAAAAGTTATGAAGCCAAAAGAATATCAGAAAGAACCCACGTTTGAATACATATTATTTACTTTACGATTTAATTATGGAATTGCCACCTAAACCGGTGAAGAAACCAAATAGTACAATTTATATTCATACGTACGTGAACGAGAAGAAGTAGAAAAAGGCATCCACTAAACATTGTACTTTGTGGACAACGGAGTCAAAGACATACCGTTTTGAGACACCGTGGCTTTTGCTTTTCTTGAATAATAATAAAAAAAAAACAATCATGTTTTTTTTGTTCGACAGTATTTGGTAGGTTGTTTTAATATTATTAAAAACATACTTATTATTTGTTTGAATATGTTTAAAGCAGACTTGGTTGTTTAGAATTGTAATATCAAATGTCAAAATCCATCAACTTTCATCAAAATTCGTTATTGTCACGTAGACAATAAATCTCTCGTACCACAAATAAAATATTTCTAAAGTCGTTTTTTTTTCTTTTGTTTTGGTCAGTCATTTTCAGGAATCTAATATTATCAATCCTTTAACTCTACTCCACCGCAACGACATTAGTTGTTTAGAGTTTCAATATCAAATGATATTACTCGTTACAATTTCGATCTTGTTCTATTGAACTTCTTTCCTTTGTTGTGTTTTGTCATTTTCAAGAATCTAAATTATTAATTCTTCAACTCTACTCCACCACAACCAAAACGAGTCTTGTCTACATGACCTAATTTGCTTAACAACCTTATCATCTCACTAACAACTCCATCTCCTAAAATTTAAACTCCTTTAACTATGCCTATAAAACATTGATCCATTCTTCATCACATAAGCAACCCAACAAGCTCATCCTAAATACATTTCTTTTCAATCAAGAAATTAAAATCTCGAAAAGTTTGTTGAAATGAATGCACACATGCTCAATCTCCTTGTCATGGTTATCTTCGTAGTTACTTTCGATGTCCAAGCACTCAGTCCTCACTACTACGACCATACATGTCCACAAGCCGACCACATTGTCACCAATGCAGTCAAGAAAGCCATGTCAAATGACAAAACTGTCCCTGCCGCGCTTTTGAGGATGCATTTCCACGACTGTTTCGTCAGAGTAACAACTACTTACACACTACATTCTCTTCATCTCTCAATCTTCTATGTGTTTATACTCTAATTAATGTTGTTGGTGAATATTTTTGATCATTAAAGGGATGTGATGGGTCAGTTCTTTTAGACTCAAAGGGAAAGAACAAAGCAGAGAAAGATGGACCTCCTAACATATCACTACATGCATTTTATGTGATTGACAATGCAAAGAAGGCATTAGAAGAGCAATGTCCCGGTATCGTCTCTTGCGCCGACATTCTTTCACTCGCTGCAAGAGATGCTGTCGCTCTCGTGAGTCTCTCTCCATCTCATATTCCAAATACTACTTTTATTTGATGATTCTATTAACAATCCACCTAAAATATTCTATGTGGATGTGACTATAGTCAGGAGGGCCAACATGGGCAGTGCCAAAAGGTAGAAAAGATGGAAGAATTTCAAAGGCAATAGAAACAAGACAACTACCAGCTCCTACTTTCAACATTTCTCAATTACGTCAAAATTTTGGCCAAAGAGGCCTCTCTATGCATGATCTTGTTGTTCTCTCTGGTATTCAACATTCTCTCACTCATTTAAAATATATTTTTAAAGATTTCTAAAATATTTTTATTATACTATTCTAAAAGATGTAACATAGATATATGAAAAAAAAAAAAAAAAAAAAAAAAAATTCTAAATCCTAAAAGTAATTGGAAAATTACAAATATAGCTCCAATGCTTATAATGGTATAAATTTGGAATGTTGAATGAAATGGCAGGAGGTCACACACTAGGATTCGCCCACTGCTCATCGTTCCAGAATAGGCTCCATAACTTCAATACACAAAAGGAGATTGATCCAACGCTAAACCCATCGTTCGCAGCCAGCTTGGAGGGAGTGTGTCCAGCCCATAACAAGGTGAAGAACGCTGGATCGACCTTGGATGGAACCGTGACGTCATTTGACAATATCTACTACAAGATGCTTATTCAAGGCAAGTCACTATTCTCATCCGACGAAGCGCTTCTCGCAGTGCCCTCTACTAAGAAACTCGTGGCAAAGTACGCGAGTTCCAACGAAGAGTTCAAGAGGGCTTTTGTGAAATCCATGATCAAGATGAGTAGTATCAGTGGGAGTGGTAATGAGGTCAGACTTAACTGCAGAAGGGTTCGCTAGAATCACAATCTACGCTTCCAACATCAAGTTACTACATTTATATCTTTCGTTTTCTCTGATCACATTGATTACTTGTGAGTGGGCCTTTCTAAAGATTAAGGCAGAGGTTCTTGTATCACTATTGTCTATCATCCTCTCGTGTGTGCTTGTATAGGCATTTATTACAAGTAATAAAATATTTTCTTTTTTGAGACAAGGCAGACAAATCTTATCACTTGTGCTCACAACCTATCTAAATGATTGAAGAATTAATAGAAGACCAGACCAACACTCTCTTTTGAGCAACAACTTCAATATGTTTGGTAGTTAAGTATTGAATTTTAACATTCATAACATAACATCCGACCCAATAACTTAGCTGGACCAACACAGAGAACAGAATGGATATATAGTCAAAGAAAAAAGACAAGACAGAGAGACACAAAGGGGTCGAGGACAAGACAGCAACCAGGTTTTCATTTTTATTCATTCAAATGCCCACTGATTCTCACGGCGAACCTCTTCTTCCTCTTCTGGCGTGAAGTCGTTCTTGATATTGAAAGTCTTGCGGATTTCTTCTGGGGTTTTACCTTTAATCATATCGGCCACTGTTTGGCAGGTCAAGTCCAACAGTCCCTTGATATTCAGGTAGTTAGCAGCCTAAAATGAGTAAGAACGAAACCAACTTTAGATTCAAGCTTTCTCTTTAGCTGCTTCAAGCTTTCAGAATGAAAATGGATCTTTATGGTTTAAGCAAATCAAACATATTGAAGTGGGCGGCGCATACAAAGCGAACAATGACAACAAATCTCAGGGAAAATCAACATTAACCGTCGTTGAAGACAGAACAAAACATGCCATGTTAGCAGCATAAAATGTGTCACAGAACCAATATAGATTCAAGGTTTCTCATCAGCTGCATGAAATTTTCAGAACAAAGATGGAACTTTATGGTTCAAGCAGATCCCAAAGAAAATCAACATTATCCAATGTTTAAGACAGAACAAAAAAACATGAGTTTGAATTAATATATGTAATTGTTGGACACTAAGTTTCAAGGCTAATTTGATAAGATAAGCAAAGAAGGACTCAAAAGTGGTCTTCAGCTATAAACAAATCCAACACACTCAAAAGAAAACTCTTGATTTCAACCAGATAAGAACATTGTATAAACTGTGAAATTGGTAATCGATCTAAACAAAACCTAAAACCCAGAAATTAGAAATCCATTTAAACAAAACCCAAAACTTGTTTCTCCCACGAACCTAAAATCAGACCTCAAATCGAAATTAAGATTTCAAAACCATACAAAATCAGAGACTATAAATCGATCTACACAAAACCTAAACGTTATCTCTCTCCCACAAACACTAAATTTAGATCTCAATCACAAACCCAGATCTCAAACCCTAGAAATGAAACAGCAGAAAAATTGAAAACCAAATCAACCACAGAGTAAAATAAATTTGACAAACCAGGATAAGATCGAAGAGAGTGCCCTGATCAACTTTGATAAACTCAGAATCCCAAGTCTTAAGATCTTCGTCACTAGAACCCGACGCGACGGTGGTAGTAGTAGCAGCAGCTTCGGTGGTGGTTTCGGATTTCGCAGCAGCTTCGACATGTTTCTTACAGTACTCAATCACCTTCGAAAGGATCTTGCTGGTGACATTAGGGAGAGGGATACCATTATCGGCACAGTCGTCTTCAATCATATGCTTGATGGTTTGTGATTCTAGTGCCACCGCTTCGTCAATTTCGAAGTTTTCGCCATCGGAGCTTTTTAGAGTGATTTTTCTCACAGTCGACATTTGGTTTTGGAATTTGGAAACGACGTGGAGGAGATTTGTGGAAACGAGAGATATATATGTGAAAAACCAAGTTTAATCAATGTTTTTAAAGCCGGTTCACACATTGAACCAGTGAGACTAACAATTCCACCGATTTACTTTTACGATTTTACCTTGTAAATCTCATTTTACAACATTTTTTGTTTTAACTCGATAATTATTTCAACTAAATTTTCTATAAACAAAAAATACACTAATTATTTCAATTTCTCCGAAAAAATATTAATTAATAAAAAATTTATATTTAATATTCAAAATTTCAAATTTCATTTTTACATCCTTAATTTTACAATAAAAACACAAATTTGAATCTTGGCTACCATCATGCATCCGCCGGTTGTTCTTCCGATGAAACAAACTACATATAGTCTAATTTTTTCTACAACTTTATAAGTCGACGGAATGATAATCTCGTGAGATTTCTAGATGTCTTTTTGTCATTAATTATTTTATTTTAAATAATTATTTATTCATTTATAATACACATATATTAATATAATTATTAGAGGAAAGCGTATAATTGGATTTTCCTAAAAAAGGTTTGGTAAAATCATGGGATTTAGAAACACAAAATTTAAATATTAAGTAAGAAATATTTATTAGTTAGAGAAACTTGCAAAATGTACCACTTTTTGAAAAGTGGCTTTTAAAATCTACCATAATTGGAAACAGTTTTCAAAATTTACCACATTTCATTGCCACATGCAAATTTGTGGACGAAATTGCCCTTAATGGTGACAGACTGCTGTGTCAGATAAAGTGACAAGTTGGCACTGGTGGAAATAAGAGGAAGCAGACTGCAATAAATGTTGCACGTTTACAATTGCATATAATTTTATATAAATAATATGTTATATAGGGGACAAGTTCAGATCGAATGAGTAAGAGAATTTGATCGAGGACAAATTCAGATCGAATGGGTTATAGATATAGATCGAGGACAAGTTCAGATCGAATGGGTAATACAATTAGATCGGGGACAAGTTCATATCGAATGAGTAATAGAATTAGATCGGAGACAAGTTGAGCATGATGATTTTTATCATCCAATTCTCTTGACTGTCCATCGCCAGATGGTGTAGTTTTGCCTACTAGAGATCTGGATTTACTCTGGGACAACTGGATATTTTTGTTATTTTGCAATAGAAGGAAAAAAAATTCAATAATCCGGGTAGATGAAGACAATAATGCTCAACTAATCTGTGGACCAACATAGATGGTGAAAAATCTAAATAAAATTCGAAACCTTTAAATGAGAACAACTGGTGGACAAGATGTGGGATTCATGATGATAAAGCAAGATGATGAAATCGGGGACAAGATCTAGACGCAATCGGAGACAAGATCTGGAGACAAAAACGAAAGTTAATTGTTTAGTCTCAAGAGATATAATGTTTTTCGGTTAAAGTGCACATGTCTCGAGGGAGGAGAGATAAATAGAGAAGTGAATGTGGTAGGAAGATAGATAGGAAGGAGAGATAAATAGGGAAGATAAATAGGGAGGGCAAATTGGTAACTTCAAATACTAAATCTGGTAGGAGTTGAAAGGAAGTTATGAATGTGGTAGATTTTGAAAAAAATTGGGAAAAAGTGGTAATTGTTGTAGTTTTTCCTATTAGTTAGTGTATTTTTAGGAAAACCAAAATATTTTTTTTATTTTCCGAACCAAGTCGATAAAACATTGTTTACATACAAATAAATAATACAGATGTACACGGGCATTCTGTGAAGTTTGTTCGCTCTAACATTAACTTGTCGTAGAAAAATGATAGAAAAAAGAAAGTAAACGCTTTCTTACACTTCTCTACTTCCTCCAAATAAACCGAGAATGTCGACCACTCCTTTCGTGTAGGTACCATCATTACCACTTCGGAGTGACATCATCATCACCAGCTACGAGCAGTCTTCTAAGGGACACCAATGTAACACCGCGGTTTCAGAAATATTGTGGTGCATGCAAAGAGGTTCAAAAGAATTGATTTAACGACCTATGTCACCAAAGTGCACTTATCTTTTCTGTCAACTGTCCTGAGAGAACTCCAGGGTTAAGCGTACTTGATGTCACAAGCTTTTCTCAGAAGACCGTGCGGCGGTCGATAATCTCAATATTTTCCGACCCAGCCTTCCTACCATCGACCATTTCTAATTGGTTTCGCCATGCCCTGGGCTCATCAGGAGATCGACTCCATATCACGACCAGTTTGTGCAGGGATGGCCTAATCCCCTCTTCTGAGTCTGATCCTCGATCAGCGATAGATACCCGAACTCCACTCGACTTGTTCTGTCTAACTCCAAAGGGACTCTCCAACCTGAGTCATGCACGCCCTTCACTGAAGCACGTTCACCTGCCCAATGGAATAGCCCCGCGAAAGCAACACGACTGTCACGAACCGTCCCAAGTAAACGGATCGTGACATTTTCCCCCACCCATCAATGTGCACGTCCTCGTGCACGGGAAGAATCCTCAAGATTGTATGGTGTATCGTTGTGAGGTAACCCTTCACTGTGGATATAAGATTCACACTCGATTATCTTTAAGTATTTCAGTGGAGAAAAACTCTTAAAATCAACAAATGAATATGAGAATTCGAAAGGGAAATTAACCAAGAAAAGAAAGTAAAGAAACTTGACAAGAACGAAGTGCAAAAAGCCTTGCGAAATAGTAAAGAGAAAAAGTATGTTGTATTGCTTAGTAGTAGTGTGTAATAATCTATGAGAAGTCTCTCCCCAAACACATGCGTTTGAAGTTGTTTTTATAGAGAAAACATGATTAATACGGTCATTCACTGTACATAATTATATTGATCCGCATTAATCATGTAAGTTATAATTTTGACCGAAACGGCTCGAATTTGAACTATCTTGGGCTTCACATGGGCTTTCCGAACTCTTTCTTGTTGACTCTGAACTCCCGCGCTTTGATGCTACTGCGAGCTCTGAACAATATTCTCCTCTCTTCGGCCTTTCTCTATGCGAACTGTATGTTGAATAAGAGCGAACTCCATGCTGGTAAAGATCGAACTCTTTTAGTGAACTGAATCGAACTCCCAACTGGTCAAGTTCAATAAAATATCTTGAATTCCGAGAGGATTATTATGTAATAATGACGTGGACAGATCCAAGTGGATCCTACCAAAAATGTATGGGATCCGACCCCAACATTTAGCCCCCCAAGTCTTGTGAGCTGAGTGCTCGACTTGGAAGACTTAAGTAAATAATAATTAATGAATCGAGATCTTTAACATTATAGAATTCCTCCATGTTTTACGCTATTACGCCGATCTCGGATAATCAAATGATTTGATTTTCCTGACAGCCGTCATCATTAATTTCCTAATTTTATATTAATACCGCGGGGAAAACTGTCCCACTTCCCAATATTTTCGAGGTAGTTTTCTGCTAAATAGGGTTAAATGGAACGACGGCTTTTACAACGTACATTCACCCCTAAAAGCTTTTACCAAACCAGAGAAAGAAAATCTTTTAGTAAAAAATGTGTTTCCCAGCCGTTTATGTCTCAAACAACGAAGATGATAGTCGGGGAATCCCTGTCCCCAGCGGGAACGAAGTCTGCACTCAAAGGGGAGATAAATTCGGTCCGCATTTTAGGTCTCAATCGACCCATGCTTCCCTTGGCGCTCTCCGTCGCCTCTGCAACATTCCTCAGGAAATAGAATTCTCTCTCCCTAAACCCAACGAGTCTCCGGAAACAGTGCGAGAAGGTTACTATTGTGCTTACGAAGTCTATTTCAAAGGTTGCGGTTTATTTTTTCCCATACCGGAAGTTCTTCTTTTGTACCTCCTCCATCTGGGGATTGCTTTTCCCCAAATGGCTCCCAACTTTCTCCGATATGTCCTGAGCACCCTGACCGTTTCGGCAGAAGCAGGGTTTTCTCTTACAACTAGCGAACTCTTAGGGCTATTTCGAGCTCGTGAGTGCACAACGGCGGGTATTTTTTCTATGAATCCTATCTTTGACCGTAACCTGATCGACGGAAGGCCCTCGCATGATGGACCTTGGAGGAAATACTGGTTCTTTTTCTGAGTTAATCCTCATTCCGTCCAAGGGCTTTCTGGTCTTCTTCTCCCAAATTGGTCGTCTAAACTTGGTTAGAATCAACCTTTAATATTTTTCACTGTATTGTGTGAAAGAAAATTCTTAACTCAACACTTTATTTTAGGGAACCAAACTAGTCCCCGTCCAACTGTTGATTTTTTATATTTCTTTCGAATCGTTTCCGAGGGTGAAACAAATTGGAATTCTTTCACCCTTCAATGTATTCATGATGCGGGGCTCGCTATCAAAAATGGTCAAACTCGCCCCCTCGATCCTCTTTCTGAAGAGAAAGATGTCTCGAGCCTGAATGCTCGCGACAAAAGAAAAATCCTTCCCGAGACTAAAGCTCTTAAGGACCAATTATCCGAAATTAGGAAAAAGAAACGGATCGCTTCAATCTCCAAGGTTGGAAACTTCCACAGGAAGACCCTCCTGGTCGACGATGGTTCTTTAGAAGCAGCTTTGTCAATTGCGGTGGATTCTCATGGAGCCGTGATTCCTAACGACCCTCCAGTCGCTACCGCTATTTCCCTTTCTGCACAAGAGAGAGAGAGAGAAGTAACTTCTTCTCCTCTCACAAAGAGGAAGGCTCCAGATTCAGATACTTTATCAAACGAGAAACTCAAAACCGTTAGATTTAGTTCTCCGTTACGAGCTCCTAGCCCTCTGGATTCCGTTTTACCTTCTTCGGAACCTTTAGACCCTGAACTTCCTCTTCCGAGTGACAGGGTAATTCCAGAAGAGATTGCTGAATTGAAACCGGAGGTTCCTTCGTCTCAAGGATTGAGCGTTAGTACTCCAAACCCTTCACCAGCTTCGATTCCAGAAACTGGTAAGTTTTTTTTTAAAATGCAAGCCTTATCAAGACTTTACAGACTGCAGTTGTTTTATTAATCTACTATTCTCCTTTGTTTTGTAGGCGGAGAAGATATTGGAGACATCTTCCGAAGTTTTCAAACCAGGAAAGGGGTATCCCTACCCCCTTTTTTAGTTTGGAGGCCGAATATCCGTCAGATGTACGTCAATCGAGCTTGCTACCTATCCTAGGTTCGGAACTTTAGATTTTTACTATAATAACCCCTTCTTTGTTAAGTAAAAATTTTTTTGTCTGAATGACCTTTTTTTTTTTACTTTGAAGGCGTTTATGGAGACTAATGGAATGATCTTCCATTATGAGAATCTTCTTCACCAAGCGATGAAAGAGACCGCAAAGGCTAAGAAGGAGATTGACGAACTTAAACTTTTCAATCAATCTGACCGACTTGAGCGGGCGAAAACCCTCGAGTCGTCCTTCGAAGATATGAAGAGGACTTTGGCAGCTAACGAGCAACACCTCAGAATTGCAAATGCAGAAAGGGATTCTGCGAGTTCTAATGCTCTTCGCTTGAAGGCTGAGTTAGAAGAGGCTATGGCTTTGTCCGAAGAAGCGAGCCATAAGGCCAACTTTTTAGTTAAGACTAGGGCTCGCGAGATCGTCGAAGCCAAACATAACGCTCGAGAAGGGATGAGGAGCTTTGGTAAGCAACTTATTCAGTCTATCATGAACTTTATCAAAGATGAAGAAGTCTGGACTAAACTCCAAACCGATCGAGCCGAGCTGAAGTGTAATCTGGACATGATTAGGGAACTAGAGAATGGAAGAGTTTCGTTCAAGAATGAGAGGAGGGAAGTTAATGCCGAACTCGCTGTAGTTGAATCTGAGTTATCCTCGGCTTCCCTTCCTACTCTCGATCTGAAACAATTTTCTTTGGTATTTGGAGATTCCCCCTCTCAATTCGAGATAGGTGAGGGTCCTCGGCCCAGTGAGGGCTCTCCAGAGGTAGAGGAACGTTCTTAAAGAATTGTTTTATTGAGTTCATGAGAACTACTTCGTTTGACGGAAATATTTTGTTTTCTTAATGTAATAGAACAAAATCGAGTACATGCGTTTGCATATGATTTTTTTTTAAGTAAAACGTTTGGATGCGATTCTAGGTTTGCAAGTCCTAGCCTACCAAAGAGGTTTTATGAATTGTGAGAGATGAGCTGATCAGGCTCACTTACCTTTTTTTTAAAAAAAAACCTTAAAAAGTATTTTTCCTCGGTCTCTCGGAAGCGAGGATGGAGCTCGGCTTAAGCTTTTTATCGAGGGATAAGATTTATAATTCATGAGAATTTTGGCCATAAAGATGACCAGGCACTGGTTTCGATCATAGCCTAAAAACGACTTTAAACGTGTTGGGCCGCGTTTTAAACGAGCTTGAAATCTGTTACACTTTTTTTTTAAGAATCCAAATACTTTTTCTTTTAAAAGAATTCTGAAGGACTGTCATAATTTTTGTAAGAGAAACTGGACTATGCCGCTATCCTCTTTCAGAGCCAGTTCAAGAATAACATCCTCGAATGGGGACCCGTTGTTTGAACCCGACGACGAATTTTCTCCGAAGGGAGTTATTCATCCTACGTTTTTCCATTTCCGGGTAGGGAAAGAAAGGGTCAAATGTTATGACTTCTTGGAAAAGGTTTACTTTCTAATTTTTACTCTTTTCAAAGGACTGCACATTTTTTAGATAGTTGACAAGATGTTTGTTCAACAGATCGTCGGGAGGCATAAAGCTTTATGCGACAAGAGACAAAGAATCGGAAGGAGGCGCCATGCTCTTGATGAGCGTATAAGGAGGATAGAAAGAGAGATCCATCGCCTCGAAGCCGAACCGCATGAATGGGAGAGGAAAGGTTTAGATATAGTGGCTATTATTCCATCTTGCCTTCGAAGATTCCTCCGCGTGCTGGATAAATTATCTCATCTATCCTTAGCAACCGGCGATGGATCCTCTTTCGTTTCATGTTCTTCAGAGTTTCGGAGATTTCCGATGTTAAGAACTGAGGAAAATGAAGAAACGGAGGCGAAATCAATCGATCATTCTTCCGGTCTCCTCGATTTATCTTCTGACGAAGGATTATCCTCAGAAAGCTGCTCGAGATCATCCACCTCGCTGGAATCGTTATCGGACGAAGTCCTTTGACCGAACAATTCCTTTGATTTATTTTTGTTTGTAACAATGCTATTGGGCTAGCGGCCCAACGACATTAATTATATTTCACCTTTTGCTTTAAATCTATCGATTTAATTCAATCTTATTTAATACGCTAATTTAGGGAATATAATTAGCAATTAACTCGATTACATTTTCCATGAAGGTAGTAATTTCAGATTTTAAGAAATCGTCATATGACCCTCTTAAATGTGATTGAGTGTATTTCGAATATAAAGTAGGTGTAGTTCATTATTGAATTTTATCAACAATAATTCTACAAAAATGTTCGAGGAAGGTAATTCTCCAGAGAATCCCTCCGACTCATTCAAAACGATAAGCAATGATCTTTCGGGAACGTCAGACATCGAGCTCGTAAAAACGGAAGCAACTGGCGAACCAGAAGAATCACGTACATTACGGTGGGGAACCAGCATTCAGGTTCTGATCATGTTAATCGAGAGATTATCAGCTCAAGATCGTGTCAAGGCTGAAGAGTTTATTACCAAGGTATTGTTCAACCTAGTGTCTTGACTTCTTTTGTTATTACTAAACGAAACGTCTTATTTTCTTCAGCTTATCACTCGGCACAACGAGCTCGAAGGTGAGAAAATTGAGATTAGGAAAAGAAGAATGGAACTAGAGAAACGTCGTCTCGATATTGCTCGCGAGCTTCATCGCCTCGAAGCCCATCCTTCTGATTGGATCGAGATAGGCCTCCAGGAGTACGGAAACATGCCGGGTTGCATTCTGAGCATCGTTGACCTCGCAGGCCAAGGAGCAGAGCTATTCCGTAATCCAAGACCCTTATAGATATGGTTTTTGCTTAGCTAAAAATATTTATTTATACATTGTTCGCAACGTATTATAATATTTATGCTATGCTTATTAAAAACAAGACTCCATTATTGGAATAGTATTTTTATTTTTATAGCTGGACTCGTGTTTAGCGAGCTGCCTACGTACCCAAAATAGGATCAAGCCAAATCGTAGTTTGAATATATTTGTTTTAGCAATAGAACTTTTTCAAGTTGATGATGTTCCAAGGCCTTTGAACGGGATTACCGTCAAGGTCTTTTAAACGGTATACACTATTTCGGATTCTTTCTGTGATTTGATAAGGGCCTTCCCAGTTAATACCGAGTTTTCCAGCTCCTTCTTCTTTTGTGTTATCGAACACTCGCCTTAAAACAAAGTCTCCTACATTTAAAGGTCTGTTTTTCAGCTTTGAGTTATAGTATCGAGCGGTCAACTGCTGATAGTTCTGAAGATGAATAAGGGATTGGTCTCGCCTTTCATCAATTGTATCGAGAATGTCTTCTAATAATTTAGAATTCAGTTCTTCGTTAAGTGGAGCTTCGCTCCGGCGTAAACCGGGAACATTCAGCTCGGCTGGGACTACTGCTTCCATCCCATATACTAACGAGAATGGAGTTTCTGCCATTGCTCGCCTCGGGGTTGTTCGATATGCCCACAACACAGGTTGTAGCTCGTCATACCAAACACCTTTTCGAATGGTTTTATTGGAAGCTTCCGCTTGCCCATTTCCTTGAGGATACCTCGGCGTTGAATAGCTAAGTGAGGATACCTCGGCGTTGAATAGCTAAGTTTTATCCCCCAAGAGGAACAAAAATATTCAAAGTCATTTGAAATGAACTGAGGACCGTTGTCCGGTACAATTTCGTAAGGAACTCCATGGCGACAAATAATGTGTTTCCACAAGAATGTCTTTACCAGAGACTCTTGTATGTTTACGTAAGGTTCAGCTTCGATCCATTTGGATAAATAGTCCGTTAGAACTAATAAGTATTGGAAGCCTCGCATTGAGCGATGCATCAGACCAACTATATCCATTGACCATCTCATGAAAGGGTATGGAGCGGATATAGATGATAAAAATTCAGATGGCTGGTGAATAAGAGGAGCGTGCATCTGGCATTTTTTACACCGTTTGGCATAATCGATGCTGTCATAAATCATAGTTGGCCAGAAATATCCTATCGTTTGATTTTAAAAGCCATTGCTCGTCCCGAAGAATGACTACCGCAAAGTCCTTCGTGGACCTCGCTTGTTACTATTTCAACTTCGGGTCCGAAAATACACAAAAGATAAGGGTCACTAACACCTCGCTTGTACAATGATTCTTTTATTATGCAATACTTTGCGCTGATGATTCTCAATTTGCGAGCTTGCCATTTGTTCGATGGTAGTTCTCCATTAAGAATGAAATTTTTGATGGGTACCCTCCAGTAAGCCCCCCAATCATTAGCGGACGTATTATCTTTGAGTATAAACTTCCTTGGTTCCGGCTCGGAAGGAATATCGGGATCATTTTCGATTGTTACCAGAACTTTTTCATTATTCGTTATACCCAGAAGTGACTGTTCAGCTCAAGATGGTTCTTTAATGGGAACCTCTTGATCTTTTAGTTTTCTTCTCGGCTTTCTTTTAGGAAGTTCCAGTTGTGGAGTAAGTTCGTCATCTTGAGACTTCGCTCGTGATCTAGTGACAACAAGCGAACTGTTCTTATTATCGGAATTTAATTCTGGAGCTTCGATATGCTCGACTTCCAAAATATTATCGTTTCTTGTTTCTTCATTTGAAATACTTCGTGAAGTAATACATTCAACTGGAATCACTCGCTTGAGTTCGGGATATGAGGTAGAAGCTAGGGCAGCTAAAGCGTCTGCCGAAGTATTCTCGCCTCGAGGTATTCGAACCAATTCGAATTCTTTGAATTTTCCGGCTAAATTTTTGACAGCCAAAAGATAGGCTTCCATTCGAGGAGTCTTAGCTTCGTAATCTCCAGCGAACTGGTTTACAACTAGCTGAGAATCACAATAAGCTATTATTTTTTTTGCTCCAATTGCAAGAGCAAGCCGAAGTCCTGCTAAGAGAGCTTCATATTCCGCTTCGTTGTTCGAAGCTGGGAACATTAATCGAAATGATAGTTCGATTATTTCCTTTGTCGGAGTTTGAACCTAATACTGATTCCGGATCCTTGCTTAGAAGAAGAGCCATCTACATGTAATT